GGGGGCTAATGGCCGCAGTGTGCGCGCTGCGCTGGGTGATGCAGCCCGGCCACGCCGGTTTAGAAATCATCTGCTTTGTCGACAACACCAGTGCTCTAGGCGCTCTCGTGCGGGGTTGCTCGCGGAAATCCGATTGGAACTGCCTAATCGGCAATATGTGGCTTCTCGCGAGCCAGAAATCGTATTGAATGCATCTCTGGTATGTGCCGTCTCATTTGAATTTGGCAGATGCGCCCAGTCGGCCATCTGAAAAGGCGCAGGAAATTGCCGACTTGACTGCGCACGGTTTTCAGTGCATCGATTGGGTTTTCCCAGACGACGCACCCTGGGGCATGCGAGACGAAGAAAAGCATCGACCGCCGAGAATAACAACATGCGTGCTTGCGTGTGCGGAAAAGTGCATGTGGCACGCTCGCCCTGCTCGGCCTGCCACTCCGTAGTGTGATGGCTCAGAATGCTCAACTTCATTTCTGATAGCCGGAATCGAACCTTCAGTTCCTCTAGTGCGCCACAAGAACCAGCATCTGCAAGCCAGTCGGAGTCAATTTTTGAGCAGGCTTTGCGGGCTGCAGCTGGCCAGAGGGCGCTGGACGTGTCGGCGTTGTGCGAAGCACTCGCCTGCAATGGTTTTTGCCACCATTCTGATCTGAGCTGCCTGTGCGCTCAGGGTGTTCTCGGTATCGTTCCTGCTTTTGGCGGCCACAGCCTCGGATTCATCAACAATTTCCTTTCGCATTGCCAGCGCTGCGCTGATCGCGAATTGGCATCGCAGACGCGCCAGGGCCGCAATGATGTAGAGAGCGGGGGGCGCGCCCTCTGCAGCCCAAAGTGCAAGCAACACGCCCAGCGATATATTTGGCGCTGCAAGTGCGCCAGATATGGGCGCGCACAGCGAGGCGAAGGAGCGAGCCGCGCTGATTGTTCTTGGCGAAGCCAGGCGTTCCCAGAGTGTTCCTGCGTATGCCGTGTTGGCCGCCGCGTTGGTCGCTGCTTCCCAGTGCCAATGCTTCCCAGGGGGCCAGCCTTCTGGCACCCCACGCGAAAAAGCAAAGAAACCGAGGCTCGAAGGATCCACCAGTGATCACCTCAATCTGCATGTTTTGTGGATAGAGTTCGCGGGATGGAAAAAAGAGCGCCCCGCAGTATGCTTCAGCTGTCAGGTTGTGGGGCCAGGCGGCCAAAAGCATTTCCGGCGACGAATGGCCGCCGGCAGAATCGATATTGAACGTGTTCGTTGGTCTCTTCCGCAATGGCTATACTCTTCAAAGGTATCTGTCGCACATACGGAGTGTGTTGCATCTCTTGAATGCTCCTTTGGGCATCCTGGCAGACACGCAAAGATTGGCACGTGGTGCGGATAAGATCACGCAGGACATATTCAGGAAAGAGAAGATTCGAGCCACCGCAGAAGAAACAAAGAGAATTCACAAATGGTGTTGCGACGCAGGATATTTTCTCCTGGCAGCATCCTGGGTTATCGCTCGGCAATTTTGCTTGCGATATTCTGAGTTGTTCCCCATATCCTAAGATGGGGTTCTTGCTATTACTTGGACGCCTCCTACTCCTCATTCTCCTTCTCCCCTCTTCTCGTCTCCTCCTACTTAGACTCACTCATACTCAGATTCACTCATACACAGACTTACTCATACACAGACTTACTCATACACAGACTCACTCATACTCAGACCTGATCACATTAACTTACTCATACTCAGACCTACTCATACCCAGACCTACTCATACTCAGACTTACTCATACTCAGACTTCCTCCTTCTCCTCCTCCTTTTACTTAGAGTTCCTCATACACAGACTTACTCATACTCAGAATTACTCATACTCAGACCTTCTCATTGTCTGACTTATTCGATAAACAGCAGATTGCGAGGATGTCTCAGGCGGGGCGCTGGTTTCAGCACCCCTAAGGGGAGCCGCCGAGGGGTGTTGCACGGTCCCGTTCGCGGCCGTTTTGTGGGGATGTCTCAGGCGGTTTGCCTGTTTGTCTTGCCAACATCCTTCGCTTGGAGAGCAGATTTGGAGGATGTCTCGAGCGAGGCGCTCATTTCAGCAGCCCTAAGGGGAGCCGCCGAGGGGTGTTGCACGGTCCCGTTCGCGGCCGTTTTGTGGGGATGTCTCAGGCGGTTTGCCTGTTTGTCTTGCCAACATCCTTCGCTTGGAGAGCAGATTTGGAGGATGTCTCGAGCGAGGCGCTCATTTCAGCAGCCCTAAGGGGAGCCGCCGAGGGGTGTTGCACGGTCCCGTTCGCGGCCGTTTTGTGGGGATGTCTCAGGCGGTTTGCCTGTTTGTCTTGCCAACATCCTTCGCTTGGAGAGCAGATTTGGAGGATGTCTCGAGCGAGGCGCTCATTTCAGCAGCCCTAAGGGGAGCCGCCGAGGGGTGTTGCACGGTCCCGTTCGCGGCCGTTTTGTGGGGATGTCTCAGGCGGTTTGCCTGTTTGTCTTGCCAACATCCTTCGCTTTCGCTTGGAGGAGAGCAGATTTGGAGGATGTCTCGAGCGAGGCGCTCATTTCAGCAGCCCTAAGGGGAGCCGCCGAGGGGTGTTGCACGGTCCCGTTCGCGGCCGTTTTGTGGGGATGTCTCAGGCGGTTTGCTTGTTTGTCTTGCCAACATCCTTCGCTTTCGGAGCAGATTTGGAGGATGTCTCGAGCGAGGCGCTCATTTCAGCACCCCTAAGGGGAGCCGCCAGGGGTGGTTGCACGGGCTCGTTCGCGGCCATTTTGTGGGGATGTCTCAGGCGGTTTGCTGTTTCTGTGCCCAACATCCTTCGCTTTCGGAGCAGATTTGGAGGATGTCTCGAGCGAGGCGCTCATTTCAGCACCCCTAAGGGGAGCCGCCAGGGGTGGTTGCACGGGCTCGTTCGCGGCCATTTTGTGGGGATGTCTCAGGCGGTTTGCCTTGTTTCTGTGCCCAACATCCTTCGCTTTCGGAGCAGATTTGGAGGATGTCTCGAGCGAGGCGCTCACTTTCACCCCCCAGGTGGGCCAGATTTTGAGGATGTCTCGATCGGTTTGCTTGTTTTGGTGGCCAGGCTCGTGGGCGCAGATTCTTCTCAGGATGCCACAGGAGGCTCCAACAGGCTCCAGGAGGCCCCAGGAGACCACATGAGGTCCCAGGAGGCATCAGGAGGCCACAGAAAGACTCAAGAGGCCACAGGATGTCCCAAGAGGCTCCAGGAGGCCCCAGGAAGCTCCAGAAGGCCTCAGGAAACCACAGGAGGCCCCAGGAGGCAACAGGAAGCGCCAGGAGGCCTCGGAAGGCAACAGGAGGCCCCGAGAGGCCCCAGGAGCAGGAGGCCTCAGAAGGCAACAGGAGTGGCTCCAATCCCATGTGTTTTACGTATGCTCCTATCGATTGGGCCTCACCTGGAGCACGATTCTTTGATGTTCTACGTATGTTTCTATATATTGTCCTTCTCCTGTGTAAGCAATCCTACTTGTTTTACTTTTGTTCCTATATATTGGGCCTCTCCTGGGGCACGAGTCCATGGTGTTTTACGTGTGTTCCTGTAGACCCATATACAATATTACCTTTAAAAAAGGATGCACATATGGGGAGCTCCACGCAGTGAGTAATTGAATCTAGGCCGGCCTGCAGTGTCTTATCGTTTCAGCATCGGCGATCGCAGGGCATGCGTGGTCCGCTTCGCCCACAGGAAGTGTTACAATGAGCCGTGCGAGACAACCAGGCGCTGCATTTGCAAATTGCAGGGCCGGGCGCTGTGCGGCGTCTGTTCGTTGTTCTCCCTAGGAGAGCGCGAAGCAATCCCTTGTGCTCAGATTCGCTACGCCGACGCCCTGGCTGTTTTGAAGCTGGCGGCTGCGGCGCTGCGTTTGCGGAGCGCGCCTGCCTGGGGGACTCACGCATTCAGGCGTGGTTTTGCGGATGAGGCGCTTCAACAAGGAGGGCCCGCTGCCTTGTTCTTCAGCGGTGGCTGGAGGGGCGTTGCAGCTTTCGGGTATGTCAGTGCCCAAAGCCGAGGAGCGTAGACGGCCGCAGAATGGCTCGTCGATCATTCCGATTCTAGCGACGGCGAGCAGGCCTAACTGCGCATCGTGTGCGCAGGGGCCAAAAATATGCCACGACATTATCTGTTCGGCGCTGCTGCGCGGTCCGTCGCCTTCTGGTGCAATGGGAGTCTTTGGGGGGAGACCCAAACGGCTCCGGCCAGGCAGCGCTTCCCAACGTTCCCCTTGCTGGCGCAGGGGCGCCGGCCATCTCTGGAAATGGGCTGGCGCTGTTATGATTTTCGTGAATCATAAATTTATTGCTGCAGCAGGAAAATCATGAGGCGCAGTACCCATTGTTTACACCTCTACGCCTCTTTGCTTACACGCCTTGCTCACACGCCTCTGCCTGCGGGCGCGTGGCTCGCGCGCTTCTGCCTGCTTCGCGGGGGAAGCGGTTCCTTGGCAGTGCGGCGGAAGAGTTTCTGCGCGAAACGGCGGAAGTATTGATGTGGCGGGGGCGGCAGCTTTGCAGCTTGCCGCCCCGGTGTTCCCTCCAAGATGGTGCAACCGGGGCGTGCTTGTCGCCCTCAGTCGCATGCGGCCTGGGGGCTGGCACCCCACGCCTCGCCCGCGGCGCCTGGGGGCTGGGACTCCAGGTGCCCCTGGCTCCTCTGCGTCTCGCGGTGGCGTCTGGGAGCCGGAGTGTTTGCTGAAAGGGGCTGCGCCTACTGCTCCTCGTCAGGAGCTTTGCCCACCCTCGCCGCCCTTTGAGGCTTGCGCCGGCGCCCTGTCCTGGCTGGGAGTCTTTGGGGGGAGACCCAAACGGCTCCGGCCAGGCAGCGCTTCCCAACGTTCCCCTTGCTGGCGCAGGGGCGCCGGCCATCTCTGGAAATGGGCTGGCGCTGTTATGATTTTCCCGGCGCCTCCCGGCGCCGGAGGCTGCGATGTATCGAGGAATGGGGCCCTCGGTGAGGCCGAAACCAGCTGCATGCAGCAAATTTCGTAACCCCCCCTTTCCCAATCCCCTCCTTTCGCCCGGCCCGAGACGCTTTTCGAGAAACTCGGAGGCCGATGGGGACCTCCCGTCGTGACTGCCTCATGGCGCGAGGGAGTCTGGGCAGATCGCGGCGCTGGGAGGGGCGCCCCCCCCGCCGCCGCGGCCGCGCGCGGCCGGCGCCGCGCCGTAGCCGAGCGTGGCCGTGGTGACCGTCTGGTCCCAGCGCCCGCGGCCGCCGGAGGACCTCCAGGTGGTGGTGACGGTGAGCGTCTTGTGGGCCGCCAGCCACAGCCCATAGCCCGCACGGGCGACCCCGATGGGCTCACGATGGCCGGAGGAACAAGCAGAGAGAGCGCCAGAGTGCGAGGTAGGGATTTATCCAAATCCACCGCCTGGGAACCGACGCGCTGGTGCCCCTGCGGGCGGTGGATATGGACATATCTTGGCCCCTGGGAGCCCAAATATATCCATCCCCGCCGGTCAACGTTTTCTTATTCGGTGTTTCGACATTGGGCGGAAGATGGGGGAGGGGGGGGGTTGGCTCCGGACCTCTGCTGAGTGCGACTGTTTGCAGCAGTGCGTCCTACGGGGGAGGCTCCACCTGCTCGAAACAGGCGCCCCACAAAAAGCCAAGATCAGCTCCATGGGGGGGGTAGGGGAGGGTGCGAGGGCCCGCGCCGATCGGCAAAACAACGAATAACAAAAACGATCACCCGACCGTCGAGCTCTCCGAAATCTATCCTGCAGGCGACGGTTATGTGTAGGGGGGGGAACAAACCTACCTCGCTTTTGACCACCCTCGCTTCCAAGAGATACCAAACGATGCCACACTACGGCCTGTACTGGTCAGGTCGCTTGACGAGGAGGCGCGTGGTATGGCTTGGTTTTGCCCGGAAGCGAAAGCGGGGTAGGTAATTTACGCTGCGAATGTGTAAATCCCCGCCTCGGACATAGCCATAAACTTCCCGAGCCCCGCGCGGACTGCTCGGGTCGAGGCAGGATCCCCCTATCCCTGCCCGGCGCGCGGAGCGGGGGGCCCGAGCGCCGATCCGAGACATCCGCGCAGAACGCCGTCTGTGTGTAGCTTATGTCTGCACTAGTATGTTTTAACCTCGGGCTCGGGGGGTGGTCCGACGGGGTCGTCCAGAACATGACGAGACTCGACGCGCTCAAGCACTTGCCATATGCCCAGCTGGGGTCGGGAGGCTTCGACGAGAGTCAGTCTGAAATTTGACGCGAATCTCTCGCTGCAGACATCCCACGATACTTGTAAAAAGCATCGGCCAACCCATGTTTCAGCGAACTCGAATCCTACGTTTCTGAAGGGGCCCCAGGACACACAAATAAATACACACAATTAAAAGGATTCCCCATATTTCCTCATATTTTCTGGGTTTGTGTCTTCCCCCCACTTCCCATATTTTCCAATATCTTCTGGGGAATCGAAGATTAATTGTGTCTGTGTGTTTTTCCCTCCTGAGTTTCCCCCGATTGTTCCTCGAGATAGCAGGCACGGGCAGGCAGCGAGGGAGGCCCGAGGGCGGTCACAGGGCGCACCGCATCGAGCGCCTCCTTGACGTGCCTCGCCGCCGCGCGGCCGTGGTGGCCCGCGGGGAGGAGGCACAGTATGAAGATGACGCACTCGAGCATCGGCACCTCCTCTCGGGTCGGGCGAAAGGGGGGGATAGCAAAGGGGGGGGTTGAGAATCAGCTCACGTAGCTGATTTTCCTGGCGCCTCCCGGCGCCGGGGCGGCTATGTATCGAGGAATGGGCCCCTCGGTGAGGCCGAAACCAGCTGCATGCAGCAAATTTCGTACCCCCCCCTTTCCCAATCCCCCCCTTTCCCCCGGCCCGATCCTCTGGCAGCAGCTGCCGGCCGCCGCCCCTGCCTGAGGGGAGCCCCGAAGCCACGCGCACGTAAGGCACAACCTCCCCGACGTCCTCCGCAGGGTGTCTTCCGCCAGCGCCTGATCCGCTCCACGCAACTCTCCTATACTAGATGCCTGGCACTCATCAGCAGCACCCGCACATGGGTTTGCCTCCACCGGGGGAAGAGGATCCTGGATTTTGATGCTGATGGTAATCTCTTGGTCACCTTTAGGGATACCGAATACGTTCGCCGTCACCGGCGAGATCAGGATAATCCTCCCTCGGTGGAGGCAGCTGCCGATGCCTGGTGTCGGCGCCAGCCTCCAGACCTCCGGCCACGAAGCGCGCTGGTGGTGGCGCCAGCGGCACCAGCCGAGAAAGGTGCGAACCAAGGGCCCGACGCCGGGAATGGGGAAACCAACAAGGCACCGATGCCACAACCCCCCCAGACCTCTCCCAGGGTGCGCTCGGCCCAGGGTTTCGAGGCGAATCCAGCGGTGGCGACGCGGGAGGTCCAGGAGGCCCAAAAAGGGAAAAGAGGGGGATGGTAGAGGTATATCGGTACATGGGTCCCTATATTCCTCCTTCGAGGGAGGAGGTAAACCGCCCAGCGACGCCAAAACAAAACATCCACATGCCCGCGCGAGGCTTCTGGCCCACGCCATGCCTCCTTGCGGCGGCGCCCCGGGCGCGCCGCGCAGGCCGTCTGGCGGTTCGTCCGCACGGGCGTCGTCCCCATCCTGGAGGCCCACCAACGTGTGTTCGCTGAACTGGGTTAAGTGGGACCTGGTTTAGTGATGCGTACTGGAGGACGCCCCCCCCCCCCGCCCGTTCCACTGACCCGAACTGCCGTCACCCGAAAAAAAACAAGCTACGGGGGACCTGATTTAGTGATTCTGGCCCATCTTGGGGCTCCTTGGCCCTACTACTGATCGGGTCCCCTTACCTGGGGTCCGGGCTAGATCCGACTCACCAACTGGGGTCCAAGCAGGGGCAGGAAACTCGCGCCGCGTCGCCGATTAGGACCCCACTTGGGATGGAAGAATCGGGGATGGACAGACCTCCCTTTAGCAAAACGTGGCTTAGTGAAACAACCTCGGGCCCACACCTGGCGGGCGCAAGCCTGGAAAAGAACGGCCGCGGCGCCCTCTCGAGAACCGAAAACGGACAATTCACAAATCGACGTGTCAGGGTAGGAGGTCTGTCCACCCCCGAAAGAAGGAGAAACGCCATAAACATACACTTTTTGGCGCTCCGCGCGGGTTTTTCGATCTGCACTAGACCTCCCTCCCCGGCGCGGGGAACGCGCCAGGGGCGGCGCTGGAGGCGCCGCCGGCAGAACCCCAGCACGGATCCAGAAAATCCGCGCGGAGCGCCAAATGTTTATGTTGATGGTGTTTCTCTCCTCTTCGACTAGACAAGCTCATTCCACTACTTGCAAAGTAAGTCTACTCGCAAATGGCCTGGATCCGCCGCGGGGGATCTGCGATCCAGGACGTCAAGGCAGACATGCGCTCTCCGGACGTCTACGAGTAGGCACTTTGCGAGTAGTGGAACGCGCTCGGTGATTCGATGGGATGCCTGGAAATCTCGGGGGCGCGCATACATGGATTAGCGATCCATGGACTTGGCGCGCGGTCGCCAAATGCATGGATCGGGGGAGGTGCCCTCCCCAAACTGCGGCCGTAGCCGCCTCGCTCGGCGGCGGACAACCGCGATTTCCTATGGAAACGGGACCCGTCGCTAATCCACGCCCCCTTGATCCATGGTCTGGGTCGACCCCAGAAATTTGCACGCCCGAAATGGGTACGGAAAGAATGGGCACAATGCCCAACAGCAAATGTTGTTCCGAATCAACAGCGGCCGCTGTTGGGCAGGCGGCCTTCTGTCTCGAATGGACACAGGCCGCGGCTGCACGGACAGCGAGTCCTGTTCAAAATGAACAAGATCCGCTGTTTGGGCATTGTACCCATTCTTTCCGTGCCCATTTCGTTCGTGCAGACAGAGGTCTCGACCCATTCCCCGGGACCAATTTTTCATCCTGGGTCGTTTTTCAACGGTCCCGACGCCTGGCAAGGGCCTCCAGAGACCAAAAATGGCAACAAAAACCTCCCGTCATGATTTTTGTCATTGCTCGAGGGGGGTCTTGATGCATGTTTGCGATCGCCTGATCGGTGGGAGGCCTGGACATCCGCGCCCGCGGAATTGCCGGGGCTGCCCGCGCCGCTCGCCTGGCCGCCCGAGGCGCTCGCGGCGGTCGCGGCCGGCCGGGCCGCGGCGGCCCGCACCTCCGCGGCGCGGCGCTGGGCCCGCCGCCTCGCCGCGCCCGTGGCGGCGGCGTGGCTGCCGGCGGCGGCGCCGGCGTGTGGGCAACCTGCGGAGGAGCAGAGAAGAGGGCACGTGCGGTTGGCGCTGCAGAGATGCAGTGGAGGCCCGTCCATGAGAAACCCAACCCGGAGACCCCGGGGCGTCCATCGACTCTTGGTGCGGAAGCGTCACGTTGTCCATCGCAAGACCATCAACACCCAAGTAGCCCAGGGCACCCTGGAGGCACGCAAGGTCTTGCACAAATGAACGACGATCAAAAACGGGTCTTGCGCGAGGTGGCGTAGCGCCCTTACGCAGTGGCTCGCGGGCCGCCGGCGTGGCACGCCGCATGGGAGACGAGGGCGCTTTCGCGCGAGCTTGCGCGGGCAGCTTGCGCGCCAGTGTCGGCGCAGACGACCCCGTTTTTCTTCTGCGTCGCTCAGCCAGCGTGCAGCATCGAGCTCCGGAGGGCACTCTCTCCCTGCGAAGCGATCCCACCGAGCGGGCCCCTCGCGTGCGCGCCCTGCCCTCTGCCAGGGCTTCTGCGCTGCACGCCGTCCCCACTGGCGTGCAACAGGAGCGGGCCTGCGGCGCCACGTCGCACGCCGTCTCTGCAGAGCCAACCGTCGAGGAGGACCGCGCAGCCCACCCCCACCCCCAGCCAGGGCCCCCTCTCCCCAGCCTGGTGTTCTCTGGGGGGTCCTGGCTGGGGGTGCGTTTGGTTCGACCCATCGGACAGGGCTCGAGTTAAACAGTGTTTTCCGTTTTCGTTTTGTGTTCTTCATCCCTAGTTCTGTCTTCGTTCCACATTTGCTGCAAAACGAAGTCGAAACGAAAACGGTCCACGAAATTGCCAAAGCACTGTTTAGCTCGAGCCCTGCCATCGGGAGTAGGTAGAAACACGAAGCAGCAAGGCGTTGAAAGTAGATCGGGTTCCGTCCGCCCTCGAAGGAGGATGGAATAGGTGAAGCCAGTCGATCATCTCAAAGTAGGAAGGCGCTTAAAATACACAGAAGTACCTACTTTCAACGAGCGATGGGTACACCCACCCCCCGCCAGGACGCCCTGGATCACCAGGTCGGGAGGGGGGGTCCTGGCTGGGGGCAGAGGTGGGCTGTGCTCTTCTCAATAGGCCTCTCGGAGCCCTGCGAGGACGTCGTGGATGGGCGCTGGGCCCCCCCGAACTCTCGGAGCCCCGCGAGGACGTCGTGGATGGGCCCTGGGCTCCCCCGAACTCTCGGAGCCCCGCGAGGACGTCGCGGATGGGCGCTGGGCTCCCCCCCCCCCGCAGGCGCGGAGCGCGCCAGAGGCGGCGCCGGAGGCGCCGCCACGGGGGCTCCAGCGCCGTTCCAAGAAGTCCGAGCGGAGCTCCGAGAGAGCACAGATGAGCAGCGGAAACAAGTGCAGAGGGCAACAAAAACCACCCCTCATACAGTCAAAACGTATAGTAAGGACGGGTGGTAAGGACGCAAGACCCTTGGAGGCCGAAGTTGGATTTTGGGGGCGGGGGGCGGCCAGTGAAAACGGCGAAGGACGGGCCGCAGAGGCAAGGACTCAAGGGTACCCTAGATGAAGGCACGCGTCCTTACTAGGCGCGTTGACTGTACCCCGACAAGTGAGGCCGTTCAGTAAACGCGCCCAAACAAGGAATCGAACAGGGCAGGGCTGTTCAGTACACGGCAGGGGCCGTCTAGTAAAAGCGCCCAGTCTCGGGTCCAGGTGTGTTTCCTTCCCTTGGAATTGGTTTTCAACATGTTTGGTCTTCAGAAACTCTGCACGGCGACGCCCCCGCGGACACGCAGGCCATCTGCAGCGGCCCGCGGGGGCGCCGCCACGCACGCAGAGCCTTTGGAGACCACACGTTCGGGGAGAGGCGGGTGATGCAAGAGAATCGGCGGTGGACAAACCTCCCTTTAGTAAACCTCCCCTTAGTGAAAACGGCCTGGGACCGAAACCGACGGACCTGGACCCGCAAAATAACAGCCGCAACGCCCCCTCGCGAACCGAAAACGGCCAATTCCTCAATCGACGTGTCAGCGTAGGAGGTCTATCCACCTCCGAGAGCAACGCAGCGAGGAGGAGTCTGCGTTTGCTGAGTTCTCTCCCATCGAACTTGGAACGCCGGCGCGGGCGCCGGCGTGTGGCTGGCGACGCGCTGGGCGGGGGAGGGCTCCTGAGCCAGGGTTCCTCACGGTCGTGCAGGAGGCGGAGGGTCGGGGATGGACAGACCCCCCTTTAGTAAAACGTGGTTTAGTGAAAACGACCTGAGGCCCAAACCTGGCGGGCGCAAGCCCGGAAAATAACGGCCGCGGCGCCCTCTCGAGAACCGAAAACGGACAATTCACTAATCGACGTGTCACTGTTGGGGGTTCTGTCCACCCCCGAGAGGGGGAGGGCGGGAGGCGGGAGGACGGAGGGACAGCGTCGAGCAGCTCAGAGCGCCCTCCGACCCCTGCGAGAGGCGCTCCTCCCCGAGCGCCCGCCCTGCCCCCCTGAGGCACCCAGTGCACAGGAGAGCACACTGCACAGATCGGCGGCGAGCGAGAGGGGGGGAACAGAGAAGGAGTCGGCCCTCTCAGAAGGCGGCGGGGGCCTTCTCAGAAGTCCGCCGGCCTTCTGAGAAGTGTTCGGCGTCTTCGGGGAGGGCTTGGAAAACTGCACGGAAGGCCCGGGGACTTCCGAGCCATCTGAGAATGCCTTCTCCTTCTCGCTTCCCCCCACCGAACAGAAGCCATGCTGATAGGGGGCCACATGTGAACCCTACCCCTACCCCCCACGATTTCTGAGGGGGAGGGTGGGGTTCACTTCCCCTCAGAAATCGTGGGGGGTAGGGGTAGGGTTCACATGTGGCCCCCTAGCTGAGCGGATTGCGTTTTTGTTTCTTGCTATGCTGAGGGGCGAGGGGAGCATGGAAGCCTTAACACCGGGGGGCACAGGTAAGCCTGTGCACCGAAGGCAACGCAGTCTGTGCAGTGTCACTACCCCGACAGGCCCTGCCCCACCTGCTGCTCGAATCGAACACATGCAAGACTGCAGCACCACCCCACGAACACCTCATGCAGCTATTCGTCTTGAAGGATTATCGTGTTCTTTTAGAAACGCTTCTCCTGGGACAGCGCTCTCCTGTCGGCTACACACGAAGGGTAACCCTAGTCGGTGAGGACATCTGCTGCGCGGCTGTGCGGGCGCGCGGGGGGCCAACCCAAGAGCGCAAGCCAATCGTATCGCATCGTTTTCAGCGAAGGGGAGCCTCAATGAGCCAGCCAAGGTTCACTCCTACGTGTAGCCAATCATGCTTAATGTGTCAGTACGTGATTGCATTGCCTCCTTTCTTGTCCTGCATCCACCACTGGTGTCGCAATCATGTTCCTTGTGTTGCGGGTGCTCTTATCAGACTGCGCTACCATTGTCTAAGCAGCCTTGCCCTCTTTCGGATTTAACACAATGCACGTTGCTCAGACTGAGCGGGCCCACGCAACACGGAGAAGCGCAATCAACAGAAATGGGCGAGAGATCAAATACTCGTTCCGTCCGCACATGCGCCCAGACGTTGCCCCGATATTTGACGTCGTGGCAAATCACACTATCGTGAACATCGAGCCCAAAACAATCGAGCTGTTTTCCTGCAGCAACTCTCGGGCTTGGTCGATCCGTGAGAGTCCAAGGGCGGTTAAACGGGAGTTTAACAGTTTCGCACTCTAGTTTCTGAGGGAGCGTTTTGGCTGTCCGTCGTTCTAATGTCATGGTCTGGGATTCGGGAGGCACCCTCCGTGCAGCTCCATTCATTAGAGGAGGAGCATTCCGGCGCGCCCCCTCCAAAGCCCTTCTGGCGAAAGACCGAAAGGAGCCATCCCGTGCTTCTGTCCCCCTTCAAGGCCGTCCCAAGTGACAGCACAACCGAAAACCGACCGAGCCGACAACGAAACCGACCGAAGCCGACAGGCCGCAAGCAGCCTTGAAGGGCGCAACGACGCAGCTACGACACATTGATCGTCCGAGCCGGTACGAACGAACGCATCTGACTGCGACGCAGCCGACTTGACCGAACCGCGGACACTGTCCTCCTCCCACCCTCCCAGGTAATGCAACTTGGCGCTTCCCGCTGATGACCTTCGTGCTATCACGCGGCCCCCAGAAAGCCAAGACCAGGATGGTGCGAAGATCTTCGCGCGGGTGCGGATGACCCAGCCCCCCCTTTTCCAATCTCCCTGTCGCCCTCCGCTTCCTTCCACTCGTCCCTCCCTCGACTCCCTGCGCCCGGACTCCCAAGCCAATGTAACCGTCCTGGTTCCGGATGCTCAGTGCTGCTGGTGGCTCTGCATGGAGCGTACTGTTGTCGAGAGAGGGCGTTCGTGCTGGTGAAATACCGGCAAACACATCGCTGTCAGACAACTCTCCGTATCCGAATGTCCAATCTACTTGGAGAGTCCCAAAGTTGGAGACGAGGAGGTTTCCAAGTGGCAAACAACTAGGCAACGATATGTCCCTGAATTCTGTGCTTGCGATCTGGTCTACTGCAACGCAGAAGGTGCGGAAGCAACATCCAGCGGACAACCTGGTGTCGCGAAACTAAGGGCGACACCACTGGATACCGTGCCTGTTCAAGACGTCTTCAAATCCGCAACCCTGTCACAGCTCAGAGTAGTCATGCTGGTAACTGTGTTTGTACTGCCAGCGGGTTCCATGAACTATCCACGGACAGAACAGTCATGGACGCATAGCTCTTCGCATTGCGTGCACCGTGGAAAGATTACGCTCTTGCAACTACAGCGGAGGCGTTCCTCCACCTCCTCCTCTTAATCTTCTCCCAGTCATGAGGTTCCAGAGGTGCGTCCAGACCGCGTCCAAAAGGGCTCATGAAACCCCCACACGGCCTGGGAAGCCCCCCAGAGGCCCCAAACAGAACGTACAAGATCTCAAACGACTCCCAAGACGGCCTACGAGGCCCCTGAGACGTCGGAACCATCAAAGAAGCCACGGAGAGGATCCC